GCCAAGATTTATGTTGGAAGGTCCACGACCGTGCACAATCTTTTGTTTTGCGTTCATACACTATGTATGAATCACGTAACCTAAACGTTTCTTTTGGTTAGGTCCTCAGTCAGTACTAAACAACAATTGTGGTTTGTGCACAGTGAAGGCCTAAAAAGAGAACAAAAACATACAACAAGGAACTTTGTTAGGTTTCATAACCAGCCATATCTATTAACTATGACAACACCAACAGCAAACAGCTGCTTCTTTCGTTAACCCTACAGGGCAAGTTGCAATTTGCTAAGTTTCAAAACACGATAATGAACGCATTTTTCTCTCGTCCTTCGCTGAATAAACTTTAACATAAGGAAGCGTACCACTCGCGAGTTGTCATTGTAAGGACATTTCAGGTCAGTCTGGACAATGAGGAGCTAATATTTGAAAATTCAAATACTGTTTATTAGCTTCAATATGTAATAATTTTATAGACTGTTTATTAACAGTTAACTTGAGAATGTTTATTGTTTTCTTTACTCCACGATTATACAAGTGTAGTCTGGGGTCTCCTTGTAAGGCTAACTCCGCATTGAAGTTGCCAGATGAAACAGATCCTGCCTTGTGATTGGCCACCCGATGGTGGGGCTCGGGATAACCCGCTGTGTCCGCAAGAAAATGCCATCTTTTTGCCACGTATATATACGTTATTTCCAAGCTTGCTCGGTCCAGATGGCTGGATTTCCTTTTTTTTTGCGTGTATATGGACCTTGATTGCGTCTTAATGATAAGCAAGCAAAAACTAAAAGTAAAAACAGAGACACACGCAAAGAAAAACCCACAACCAACAACCACAAAAAAAAACGCCTTGATCTTACGTTTTTTTCAAAACCCCCATATATATCATATCAAGTTTCTATTTTATACTCAAAGAAGATCATTTCCGATATTTGGTATTTTTCAAAATTTTAACTTTGGGTTTGTCCAGTATAATACCGAGATGAGAACTGTGTTGCAGTCCACTGCTCATGCGCAGGTTTATTTTGTTTCTCTAGGGACCGGTCGGGCCAACCGGACATCCGGGACAACCAGGCATTCCCGGTGTAAAGGTATGGTATTTTTGTTATTTGTTCTTTCAAGGTGGTTTTGTTTACAAACAGTTAAGGGGCTGTGTCACGCAGCTTTAAGCGGTTCAAGCACTGACCAACTGGTCAAGGAGTTTAGAAGAGATCCGATAGGAAATCGAGCAATTTTCGTTTTTAGTCGGCAAAAATCTTGTATCAGAATAATGTTAAGTATACTCTTTTTGCATTTTCTAAAAGCTAAAGCTATAAATAATTGCCTGGAATAACACCAAAAACAATTTCCCATGGAAACTCAGAGAAATTGTACAAACACAGGTGCAATTTCATCAACAGTGTCATTTCAACTATACTTTGAGTTTCAAGTGTTTCATATGAACTTCAAAATTTGTTTTCGACATTTGGTGTTGTTAGAAATGATTT